CATATCTGTATTTCCTTGGAAATATCATCGATACTCGACTTTCTAGTGTTTCTTAATACGACAAAGTGAAAGCCTATTGTACTACGTATTTGTACAGCCGCGTGAAACAACTTTTTGGTGGTAGAGGTGGCCATCTCAATATTTTTCTCTAAAACCACCAAATGTATGGCACACAAACATGTGATCATTTCGGCAGTTTGTTTTGTACGCCCATTCTGCTTCCCTCCGTGATTTTATAGGCCTGCACTGGGTTCATCATATTTTCAAGAGGTTTATTATGAACATAATCCTTTGTGTTCTCCGGGAATTTTAGGTTCTTTTTGCTTCTATTTTAACCAGAAAGAAATAAAAAGACTTGCAACTGAGTACCAACAAAAACATCCAACCTTTTGAAGAGAGATTAATTACTGGGGATCTGCACGAGAACCGATCGAATTCTTTAGATTAGCCTTCAATTTCAACAGTTTGGTGAGAAATGATAATGTTTGAAATAGAGCTTAACCAACATAAGTGTACTTGCATTAGATAATAGTGTAGTAGCAATGCGAGCATCTTACACGGTGATTCAACCACTTGACCTGTTCGATTTGAGATACTTTAGATCTTAACCAGAGAAGCACAAAAATTGAAAAAAAAAAAAAAAAAAAAGACTTGCAACTAAGTACCAACTATCAAAACTTTGGCAAGAATATTCATCAACTCCAACATCCCTGCAACAAACTAATAAAATTATCTCCAACATGTACCCGAAGTTCATCACATTAAGTAAACTTTCATACACCAATGATGTCAACATAAATCCCTATTATTTCTGTTTCAGAGAAGCAGTAAAAGGCAATGTTAAGCATGAGTAATCCGAGTAACTAATTTTACACATTAATTGAAGTGTTCGCCTTTCAGGAGGAAGCACAATGTTTTTGTTGCCAGGGAAGGCATCACGAGAGATGTCTACAAGGGCCTTGAACTATAAGGTTCGTGCATCGACAGTTCTGACAGAACTTTCCTGTTCAGTTGGACGTTCTCCTTCATCAGCCATGCATAAAGTTACCATAGTGAACATGGTAACAAACATGATACACGAAAAATGAGAATTTATTTAAGTTCGCAGCCGTCAAGTAACATCACAAAAGAAAAGCCTAAATGTGCTCACCTACATCAGAAAGGATAAAGGTAATGAGATGCGGGATACCATAATCAGCATTTCTACTACATTAGAGGCGGAGTAACAGTAAACTCCTAAAGTAACTAGACACTATTTGCCGCTACCAGATTTGACTGTATTTTCTCCAAAGGCTCTGCCTATTCAGCCTTCACCCGTTACAACAAATATACAATGTTGATATATAAGGTACATAACACCAATAGGCACTATGAGCTCCCTAGATTATAATTTTCCCCAACAAAATAACAGTCAGATCCTCTATTTTTACTTTGGATTATCTGACATAGCATGCTATTCTCAGCTGAAACAATTCTTGACTTTAATACTTTTAGACCCAGAACAGAAAAATGTTATAAAACTAAACTTCAATGAACAATCTAATTTGAGGTTTAGTTTCTTAAAGGTCCTTTAAGGTTCTGGTGCGAGTAAGACAACTATTGATTACAAAATTTGTCAGTATGTAATTTCTCCTTTATTTTCTACAAAATATGTAATTTTTGTCTTGAGTGGTTTTTATAATAGAAATCAACCCAGGGAGAATATTTTTCTTTTTTCTTCAAGTGAAGAGATGATTGAATAACTTAAGTGTTCAATAACTAAGTCAAAACTAAAAACTTTACTAGACTTTTCCACCTTTTATAATCAAAATCAATATCTGAGTTTAAAACTGTCACCACTCTGCAAGCAAAAAACACTAGTGTCATCAAATATTTATGATATATTGAACTATATAATGTCTACTACAAGGTTAACAAAGGTTAAGTGGCTTCAAACCAGTCAATTTTAAGACAAACAGTGCACGGGGAATTGTAAACTATTTCTATAAGATGATTTACACAAATGTTTGAAGATACAAGAGAAATCTCCAAATTCACTGACCTTATTATCGATTATATTAACAATAGTGTTTCTCGACTAGGATGTAACTTTCCAGATCATATTTAAAGATTGAGACAGCTATAAGAACAAAGCTTTAGTGAAAAAAAGGGGTTGATATAGGATTAATGCCACAAAAAATTATAGACATCACAGAACACAAAATTCTATTAATTCAGAATCACAAACACTAAGCAAGACTGCCTAGCAATTCCAGCTTAATATTGCAGCAAAATCACTGACAGATGCTAAACTCAACTAAAATAGACACCAAGAGGAATTACATCATTTTGCATCCAGCCTGTCTAGGATGATGTCTATGACAATTCTTACAAATGTTTACTTTCAGGTTAAACCTTTGACCCATCAGGTGTGCCTACAGCACTTGTTCTAAAAAGACTAAGATACATTTTCTTTTGGTCTGAAAGTCATTAGAGAGTTGGTTCACGATCTAGAGACTAATTTAAAAAACAAGGATAAAACCAAGTCATTTTATACATAATTTTAATACAATCTCACAAAAACAAGAAAAGAAACTTTCAATTATTTTTAATTCTTAAACTAGGTTAAGTATTGCATCAAGTAGCTTCCCTCTCCCAACCAAACATCTTTAAGTAATACGACCATGAGTCATACGAAGTGTAGTTATCCGATTTGTAATTAAATAATCAAAATTAATTGAGCATTAGTGGAGTGGCATGGTAATTAATTAAAAAGTGGGACGTTGGTTCTGGTTTCTACGTACTCCTACTGCTCCATGTCTAAGTTAATGGCTAATGTGGATGGGCAACCCTATGCGGACATCTAACCTAATATTAATTATTGATTATCGGTAATTGTGAGTTTGCCAAAATTAGTAAATTCCAAAACATAAACAAAGTTACAAGTCATTTTCTAACTTATTAAAGGCTTCACCACTCCACCAGGTGTGTTAATATATTAGTACAAAGTAGTGTTAGCGGCATTTCTGGGGGGTGATTCAATCACATTGATGACTTGTAAAATTAAACGTCTAGACTCCAGTTTATTCTCAACCACATCATCAGAAACCAGACCCCATGAATTGAAACCTCACACGTACCCTTCAAACAGACTTATGCTAACAGCTCTTCTTTCAAAGCTAATACAACTCATTGGGTCGGTACACAAACCCAATATTATTTTTAATTTTGTTTTAATTCTGATTTCCAACCATCTTCCAATATAGAACTGTACATCACTGCAGTTGTAATAGAGTGGTTAGCTCGTAGCTCAACTACATAAAACCAGATTATATTAACCTTACTGCTCTATCTATATGCTAACTCATCCATTCTTGATGTTGTTTCTATGGTAATTAAACAAACCCGATACTTCTTTCCTGTTTTGACGGATTTACACAAGAACTTGGTGGTTTGGTGAATCTATAGCCAACTAATTCACACACTAAGTTATGTTTGGTGAGGGAAGTCTTCTGCTAGAAAAGTATATTGTTGATGAACTTGTGAATCTGATCATCGGGTACTCTTTAGTCTTTACATTAATTTGTTAAATGGTTTATCAGTAATACCGTTTCTAAATTAATGAAAACGTAAAAGTTGATACTAGAATCAGTGTAATATGAATGTGATTGAACAATTAATAATTTCGGCTTGATGATGAGGTTAACCATTAGGTTAAGTACTGTTGACTTTTGAACTTAGTCCTAATTAATTTAACTGCTGTTTGATGGAGATATAATTGGGTGCGTTTATTTCATTATTTTTGCATTATCCTATCTCTATTCTATCCAAAATACACATTTGTTTCTCTATTATATTAGTTTATAAACCCCCTAAGTTAGTTAATTTAACTAAACCCCCCCGCCCAAAAAAAAATTTAAAATTTGACAAAATCACCCCCACCCACCCACATTTACCAGATTTCGACCACCACAGCTGGAAGGTAGCCGGAATCTGGTATAATGGCGCACTACCGACTGGATCTGGTTGATAGTGCGTCGATATAACATTTTTCAACTAGATACATTGTGGATTTGGTCGGAAAAATCCAGATCTAGAACCAAATATCTAGCCGTTGACGATCAGATCTATGATCGTTGACAGCCAGATCTACGGTCGTAGCTAGTCATCAACGATGGCCAAGATATGGCCGTCATTGACCATCAACGACGATCATATCTTTGACCATCGTTGAAGATTAAACGCGGCCAGATCTGGATCTTTGGCCGTTGTTGATGACCAAATGCGACCAGATCCATAGTGGATCTGATCGAAAAATGCCATACCGACTGCGTCGATACGGCGACTCCAACCACCCTCTGACGGTGGTGGCTAACTGTCGGTATTTAATGGGTGAGTGAGAGTGTTTTTGTTAATTTTTAATGTTTAATTTATTACAGAGATGTTTAGTAAATTAACAAATCTAGATGATTGTTTTGTTAATTTTTAAATCCTACTTCTAATAACCACTCAACTCTTTTTTTTTTAAAAATCTTATCCAAAATAATAAAACAACTAAGTCTCTCCATTTGTATATTTCTAGTTAGCTAGCTGAGCTAGCTGCATCACCAGTTCTGCCCACCTCCTCTTTCTTATAACTCAATAAATTTCTAGCTACATTGTCCAAGAAGATTTGTACTTAATCAAAACATTTATAATAATCTTTTATAAAAGTTTTAAATAAATTGATCAAGGCAGATGTGTTAGAATGGCGTAATATACAAATTGCTTAATTAACGTAAACTATTGTTTGTGAATGTGATTGATGTTTGGATTCAATATTGTTAGCCTAGAAGCTTCATGAAGTAGAAAGTAATTCACATTTTATTTTTTGTGTTTTTTTGTTTTTTATGTGATCAGGAGTGTTTATACTTCTTGAGTAATACATTTAAAAATCTTTATTGAATCACTCAGCCATCTAAAGTTAGTTTTTAACTCACATTAGTTTGGTGATTATTGGTATATATGTATATGTACTCGTATATATATTTATATTTTACAATAAAGCATATATATAATATATAGAATACAACCATGACAAGATGTTGCTGCCGACACACTGCAGCCAGCTTCCAGCCTCCCATACAAAATATAGGATTGGAATATGACACAGTAGGTGACAATAACACAAAATGACAACCATAATTGTCCGATACTAAGAGCCAGACTCGACATTAAACTCATTTCATCAGGTTAAGATAATCAGAAGTCAGAGGCCTAAACACATCAGATGCTTCCTTCTCAATCATCTCTATTTGCTTCTTCAATAGGTGTAAATACACCACCCAGTCACCGTTCCCTAATGGACTCGGCATCGGCATCACATACCCCGCATCACCACCCCATGGGAAATGATATGACCCGAATGCTGGTTTGCCCCACCCGAAATCCACTTTTGAAACTGGAAATCTCTGCCCTGATGACGCCACAAAAGCCGGTCCATTGTCACTTCCGTTTATGTATATCTTAGCTACAGCTGGTTGGGGTCTATGTGCCTCAACCCAATCAATCAGTCCCAGGAAATGATCTTGTGTCACTGCGTTTTCCAAAAAAGCATGAACTTGATTTGCCACGGAGGATAATGGTTTTTCCATAAGTTGAATGATTTTTTGTCCGCCAAAAGGGATTGATAATACATTTCCAAAGTATGCATCCATTAGTCTTGATTTGTAACTATCTACTTGGCTTAACCTAATTCTTCCATCAACAACAATCCCCATTTTTGATGTCTTATCATTGTCTGTAGCGCCACACTGCGCTACCATTTTCCATAAAAATGCACTGAAAGACTCGAGTTTTGTCCTCCTGCATCCTTTGGGGCTAGCGAGTGATTGAAGCTCATTGAGTTGGTCTTTTGTAACATAATATATGCGACTTATGAGATGATCATGAGTAGCTTCAACAGCTTCTTTAGGAGTTGGAGGTGGTGAGAATGGCACGTACATGTCACCTAAAGCAGGGTCAACGCATCCAAGCCGTCTAGGATTTAGCAGAGATCGACGAAAAGATGGTAGCAAAGAAATTGGTCTGGACTGAGCTAATTCAGCCCATGAAACAAGAAATATATTGATGGAGTATGCGTCTGCTATTCGGTGGTCGAAGGTGCACGCACCACAAGACCGCCGCAATTGAGTTCAGTTGCCTGTAAATCAAATTCATATAATATTATATTTGATTACATACATACACTGATCATTAAGGGAATTCTAATCTTTGAAGCCTATGTAGAAAAATTTAACTGCCATCAACTGCCTCACTTTTGATTTACCTAAGACAATAACACTTACTGATGTCCCCCAGATTCCCTTAGCTCCCTAAATTACGTGTCAAAATGATTTTAGATTAAAATATAATATCAAAAAGGTTCTTGGAATACATTCATTCGATATCTTGTTTCCAATCGATATCTCGCAGGAGGTGATGGAAATTAAAAAAAAAAAACATTAAATTAATGTACGCATGTCATGTTCTCCTGCATGGGTGGTTTTGTTATATTTCTTGTAAAAATTAGGTCACATATATTATCATGTACATATATTTTAAGAAAACAAATTACTAAATCTCAAACGGTATGATATCAAAACCATGTTCATGTAGTTGTTTGATGCATTAATCCAAATTAAGAAGCAAAAAAACTTTGAGGGATGAACGATAAGTGACCTGAATAGAGAGCACTCCATTCTTCTTGTTAGGCACGAGCTTGCCTTCAATACTTTCGTCAGGGTTATACAAGTTGAGTTCACTCAACTCGACGTTCGCAAAGGCTTCAACAAAGTCCACTCCACGGTTGTTGCAAAGGAGCTCAGGCTCACCAACAGGGTTGGGTACGACCTCACCGGCGAGGGCGTAGTATGACACTAGCGTTTGAGCCAGGGCCCTCTTTAGAATAGCAACCATGGAGGCAAAAGTCATGCTTTGAAGTGACGGGTTATGGTAGCAAAAGAACACACTAACGTCAACCGGTGGCAGCAGCAAGTCGAGGTTGGAGAATGGAAGCCAATGATCTTGCAATGGTAGCACTGCTGCCACCACCTCCTTCTTGCTTACAGTCACCGTGAAATCTCCTCCTGCAACCATCTTTTGCTTCTTTCTCTCTCTCTCTTTCGCCCCTTCTTTTAGCGAAGATGAATTTATGAAGAAGCAGGAGGGGAAGGGCACGGATTATATAGGCAAAATGTAGAAAATTTAATAGTAATTTATCTGAAATGACAATTTTGACCTCTTATACTTTGCCCATATTAATATTTTTATCCTAAAGGAATTACTATGTTAAGGGTATATCAGTCTTTAAGTAATCATTCTATTAAGGATAAAAATATTGTTCTAAATTCACTAGTAAATTTAGGTGAAACAACTTCTCATGAAATGTGGCTTACAAGGTTCTGGTTTGGTTTATATTTAATTTACATTTTATATAAACTTTTAAGTATGTTTATATTATTAAATGAATAGGTCAAATTTCCTTTAGCTATACGGCGAAACGCAGGGCTGGAAATTTCTTGAATTTTGAAAAGATATTTTAACTTAGCCTTGGCCCTTGATATATATATGTAAGATATTTATTAAGTAAGAAAAGAAAAGAAAGGAATGTACAATACAATGAAATCCACACGAAAGCTTAAGAGTCTATGTTGCAAAGATGGTTTGATAGAGAGTTTTAGATGTTTTATTTAAGAGGTCTTGAGTTTGAATCACTTCTCGACTACTAACGAGAATAGTCACTAAAGTTTTTATCTGACCGATAGTTTCAAGGTCTTAGAGGATTAGTTGACCTACGCCTAAGTTGAATTGGACAACACCAATCATAAAAAAAAAAAAAAAAAAAAAAAAGAGGAATGTTTAACATGTTAAAGTAACGGTAATTAAGTTATCCCACATTGATAAACTTTCATCAATTTACTAATTCAAATTGTCTATTATTATCAGAAGCAAACAAGGCAACGAAAGAGACCCTAGCTGTGTTTCCCATGATACGTCACTCTCAGGTCTTTCTTAATTAACCTTGACAATTTGAAACATATTACTCTTCTCATCTTGTAAGTGTACATACTTGTAATGCCATGTGAAACATACTAGTTATTGCTTGCTGCAGTTGGTAATCTCAATTACTTTTCTCTAAAGCCCACCAAATGTATGGCACAATCACACAGAAACCTATGATCAATCCCGCAGGTTGTTTGTATGTCCCTTCCTTGTTTCATGTTTGCATCCCTGTGTCAATATATATAGGCCTGCACGTGGTTCAACGTCTTTTTCTAAGGGAATCTTATTATACACGTGATTAACATCTTTTTACTTCATATTTTAACCAGAGAGCAAGAATCATTCGATAAATAAAGAAATAAAAGGATTCGCAACTAAGCACCAACATAAACAATCGAACCTTTGGCAAAAGAGACTCAACTCTTGGGATCCACACGAGAACCTGATTGAATTCTTTAAATTAGCCTTCAATTTCAACAGTTGGTGAGAAATTATCAATGTTGGATATTAGCCCTTGACTTGACATAAGTTTACTTGCATAAGTAAACATCCAACAGAAATGCAGGTGTCGTACATGTTTGATTCAACCAGTTGGACCTATTCATTTGGTGCAACTTTCATATCTAAACCAGAAAAGCACAAAAATTGAAAAAAAAAAAAAAAAGAAAAAAAAAAGGACTTGGAACTAAGTACCAACTGTCGAAACTTTGGAGAGGAGATTCCATTAACTCCCGACATCCCTGCAACAACCTAATAAAAGTCTTTAATCTTCATCTTCAAAAGATGATCATGTTACAAAATTCATCCTTAACATGTACCAGATGTTAGCTCATATTAAGTAAACATCCAATTGCAATGTGCATGGTATAAAGATTAACCAATTGATTTGGCCGAATGAGGCAAAAAGTCAAAGAATGCATAGAAATCTAAGATAGAATTCAGGTCTAGAAAATTTGCTTTCATAGGTAACGGTATTAATATAACTCCCTGATTGTTCTGTCTCAGACAAGCAGTAAAAGGCAATGCTAAAGCCTGAGTAATCTGAATAACTAATTTTACACATTAACCGGAATGTTCGCCTTTCTGGGAGGAAGCACAATGTTTTTGTTCCAGGGAAGGCATCCCGAGAGATGTCTACAAGGGCCCTGAAATTAGAAGGTTCGTGCATCGACAGTTCTGACAGAACTTTGCTGTTTAGTTGAATGTTCTACTTCATCAAACCATACATAAAGTTACCATAGTTAACCTGGTTAACAAAATGATACAGGACAAATGAGAAATTGATGAAAATTATTAGCCCTCCAGTAGCATCTGTAAGTGTTAGCCTACTTCAAAAGGGATAAAGGTAATGAGATGTGGGTTACCATAATCAGCATTTCAACTATCGTCTAATGACAGAACATTGTATAATTTGCTTGTTTTAACACAGGGAGGGGAACATTAGTCGATGTATTGTATAAATTTTTTACCCTCATCAGTTTTTTTTTTTTTTTTTTTTTAATTGATGTTTTTGTGGATTTCTAGTCCACTGATGTACCTCAATCTATTCTTTAACTGATGAAGTCATGATATTTTGCTGGAAATGCAATGTTCAAGGGCTGGTAGTTTGAAGATGTTTTTTTTGGCACCAAGGAAGAGCAGTGTGTTGTGCTGGAAGAAGTGGTTTAGGGGCTGTTGGTTGATATCTTTTGTTGTGATGTAATTAGGTAGATGCAGCCAGAAATGTGGCTTTATATCCCTTAATTGTAATGCATTTGTTCACATTGTGTGGCTTAGTTTTAATCATGCAAAAAGGTCCTTGATAGAGTGGTTGTAACAGTGGACTGCAAGCATTATATTGTGTGTAAGTTGTGCTTAATGGTTCAATGAATGTAGCTTGTTCTCTCCGGATTTTTCTTTCTTTGTATAATCTGACATTCAAACCAACAAAATGGTATCAGAGCCATCTCACCAGACCTCTATATAAAATCACAAAACTGATCTTGAACCTTCATCACCCTCCAGCTTTCTTAAAGAACAACTCTGTCCCAAGTCACATAACCTGCATCTATGGCATCTCAATCAGCCTCCTTTTCACCTCCTGTCTTCAATGGTGAGCAATACCATATTTGGGTTGTAAGGATGAAGGCCTATCTAAGAGGGCAGGGGCTCTGGCAATACGTTGAAGAAGAGAAACAACCTATTCAGTTGGGTCCAAATCCCACTCTGAATCAAATGAGGTTGTATGAAGAAGAAATGTTAAAGGCTCCAAGGGCTTTATCTCACATTCATTCGGCTGTTACAGACCTTGTGTTTACAAGGATAATGGCATGTGAAACAGCAAAAGAAGCATGTGATAAGCTGAGAGAGGAGTTTATGGGAAGTGATACAATGAGAAATATGCAAGTGATGAACCTGAGGAGGGAATTTGAGATGTTGAGAATGCAGGAAGTTGAGAAAGTAAAAGAATATGTGGATAGACTGATGAGTGTGGTTAATAAGGTCAAGTTACTTGGAGTGGAAATGAGTGACAAAATGATTGTTGAGAAGGTGCTAGTGAGCTTGCCTGAGAGGTTTGAATCAAAGATTTCCTCTCTAAAGGATTCCAAGGACCTATCACAAATCACTCTTATTGAGTTGGTCCATGCATTGCAAGCTCAAGAACAAAGAAGATTAATGAGGCAGGAGGATGCTAATGAAGGTGCTATGATGGCAACTCAAAGAGGAAAGATTATGCAGGGGAATAATAGAAGGTATGCCGGAGATAAAGAACATTGCATTCATTTAAAAACAATCAATTTTTGAATTGGGTGGGTTGAATTATCAAGTTACCACCTTAAATGTGCAGAATCAATATTAGCTTTAAAGGTTCAAAAACTGCAATTTAGCCCCTGTGTGAAAAACGGAACAGTAGGTTTCTTGTCGCGGAGAAGAAATTCTTTTCCCTAGCGAAGTTCATGCATACTTGGTTGCTGCAGCGAAGTTTTATTTTGCCGCTGTGACCGTGAACTTCCAGAAAACACAAATCGTTCTAGAGAGTTTTATGCAGCGGCGAAGTTTTATTTCGCAGCGGCTAGATCTACTTTTCCAGAATTTCACAACAGCGAAGTTTTATTTTGCCACAGCCAGATTCACTTTTTGCATCTCGCCGCGGCTAACGCCACAAAACAGTGAATTAGGCACAGTAACGTCTTTTGCAATTTTTTCACATAATGACACAGATACAAATCAAATTGAATGATCAAACATTCGACCAGGACACCAACCAACCAATACACATTGAATCAACACATTATTTAATCAATTGATTAATTAAGACATTCAACATACAAAATTTTTCCAGATTTAAAAACACTTCAAATCATGCAATAACATGTTATCAAACAAATATACATGTTATCAAACATCAATTAGACAATATAATCTAATACCCAGGCTCTGATACCACTGTAAGTAATTGATCTACCATACGCAGCGGAAAACAAAAATTCAATCGGTAAATCAATTATCGTTCTTGGCCTAGATCCGAGTATAGATTATACCATTTACAAGTTTATAAACAAAAATCTGTATAAAGTAAATCCATTCAAGGATTAGAATACTTACATACGTTTGGAGGCTCCTTCGAATATCTCTGATTTTGGCAGGAACACTGTTCACGCGATTTTTTGCCAATCGATCTAAAGTGGGATCCCATTCACAGAAGTCCACACGAAGATAATCCGCAGAACCCTTGATTATTTTGCTAGAATAATCAAGGGCTTCAAGAATCAAGAAAGAAGAACAAAAAAAATTTTCTTCTTGAGAAAGAGAGAGATAGGGTGGCTAGGGTTTTAATTGAATGAATAATTCCCTATGTTTTAATTATAAGTTGCACTTATATAGTGCAACAATTAAAACCCTATTCCACTTAGGAATAGCCATGGGCTCCAACCCACTTTGTTTACAAAGATGATGTGTATTTGTGGTCGACTGAAGAGACTCTAGTGTTTTATTAAAGAGGTTTTGAACTTCGAGTATCTTCTGAATAAAAAATAAGAATAGCCACTAGAGTTTTATGACGATAGTTTCAATGGTCTCAGAAGATTACTGACCTGAGCTTAAGTTGGTCCGAACAAACCCTGATCATAAAAAAACAAAAAAAAGGAAGTGTTTAACATTTTAAAGTATGGTAATTAAGTTATCCCACATGACAAACTTTCATACAATTTGCTAATTCAAATTGTCTATTATTATAAGAAGAAACAAGGCAAATGAAGAGACCTAGCTGTGTTTCCACAACAAAAGAGCCCAACTGGGATTAAGTTAGTGCCGGACACCCCTGACCATTGAAAAAAAAAAAAAAAGGAAAGGTTAACATGTTAAAGTAATGGTAATTAAGTTATCCCACATTGACAAACTTCGTCAATTGCTACTCAAATTGGCTATCATTATCAAAAGCAAACAGGCAACCAAAGAGACCCTAGCTGGGTGTCTATGATACTTCACTTCAGGTCTTTTTAACTTGACAATGTGTGAAAACTTTCTTTTTTTCATGGTCATCTTGTAAAGGTAAATACTGTAATGCCATGTGAAACATACTATTTATTGCCTGCTGCAGTTAGTAATCTCATTATTTTCTCTAAAACCCACCAAATGTTGTATTAATCCGGCAGGTGTTTATATGTCCATTCTTGCTATGTTTGCATCCTGTGTCAATATAGATTAGGCCTGCACGTGGTTGCAACATCTTTTTCTAAGGGAATCTTATTATACACGTGATTAACTCTTTTTACTTCATATTTTAACCAGAAGCAAGAATAATTTCGATAATAAAGAAATAATAGGACCGCAACTAAGCACCAACATAAACCATCGACTTTGCAAAAAGAGACTAACTCTTGGGATCTACACGAGAACCTGATGAATTCTTTAAATTAGCCTTCAATTTCAACAGTGGTGAGAAATCATCATGTGGATATTAGTCGTTGACTTGACATAAGTTTACTTGCAAAGTAAACATCCAACAGAAATGCAGGCGTCGTACATGTTTGATTCAACCAGTTTAGAACCTATTCATTTGGCGCAACTTTCATGTCTAAACCAGAAGCACAAAATTGAAAAAAAAAAAAAGACTTGCAACTAGTACCACTATCGCAACTTTGGAGAGGAGATTCATTAACTCCCAAATACCTGCAACAACACTAATAAAAGTCTTAATCTTCATCTCTAAAGAGATCATGTACAAATTCTCTTCACATGTAACACTGTAATCCTATAGTAACTAAACAGAATTTGCGCTAACACATTTCACTGTATTTTATCCAAGGCTACCACCTATCGCTTTCACCTCGTTACAACAAATATACGGTTGTTTGATATATAAAACACATAAACATTTAACGCACCAGGCACTATGAACTCCTAGATTTTGATTCTTTCCCCAACAAAAAAAAAATCAGATACTCTTTTTTCTTGGATTACCCGACATAGCACAATACCATGCAACTCTCAGCTGAACAAACTTCTGTACACAAGCTTTCACACCGGAACAAAAGTGGTTAAAACTAAACTTCAATCGAGAACAATCAAATTGTGGTTAGTTTTCTTGAAGGTTCTGAAGATTTGGTGAGTAAAGGATTATAATTATAATTTTTTTTCAATATGTTCTCAAATTTCAATATTCAAGGTTTTTAGTTATTATCTTTCCTTTTCAGTTTTTATTTTCAGAAAAATAATCAAACCAGGGGAATATTTTTCTCTTTTTCTTCAAGTGAGGAGATGATTGTGTATAAGGGTTCCATAGTCAGTCAAAACTAACAACTTTAGCAGACTTTCACCTTTGTAGTCAAGAATTCAATATGAGTTTAAAACTGTCCCCCACTTCTGCAAGAAAAACATAGTTTAATCAATAATTATAAATAGCACTTGTTTATTTAATATAATATATTGGTGGAGCCAATCCAACTATCCTAGATATATGGCAAGATATTGTTAAGGGATATGAGAAAAGAAAAAGAAAAGAAAGGAGGTATATGGAATGCCATCCACACAAAACCTTGTCTCAATGTCAAAATAGTCTGCACTGCAAGGAGAGTCTTTTAATATTGAAGTAACGATACTTCAATTGTCCCGAGTTGACCAAATTCATCCCCCTTGCTATTAATGTTCATAAGCTAAGGACACCGAAAAAATTACATCAAAATCATGTACTGGCCTACTAAACACTTTTAATTTTTTTACAATTTTTTTCTAGTGAACGACCGTCCACTAATTTGGACGACCATTCACTCATATGGACGCCCGTCCATATTATGATGGACGGGGGTCCATTACAAGGACGGGCTCCCTAAATAAGGACGCCCTCAAATAAATATGAAAAATAAAAAAAAAAAACTTTGGGACGGCCGTCCATAAATTATAGACGGCTGTCCTTACGTTTGGACTACTTAAAAAAAAAAAAAAAAATGTTTGGACGGGCGTCACGCCGTCCTTACTTTAGTTTCTACAAATTAAAGAAAAACTTTGCAGGGATGGACAGGCGTCCGTAAGGAATGGACGCCCGTCCATTTACTTATGTTTTTGTGAAATCTTTCCATGATTAGCATACTCAATGCAGTATCTCCTGCACATAATCAGCCAATTTGACGTCTTCGACTAGTATAGTACGTTTGTGATCCTGTTGAAGTTCTATAGCTTATCCTATTCTCTTCATCGCTGTGACTTCCCTGAAAATCTTAAACTCTTGCATCCCTGAAAAAAACACGTGAATGAAGACGAAGAAGTAGACAGGCGAAGCTCTGCGCCTTCTTCACTTGCCTCCATGGAACCTTTATTGCATCCCTTTGATTTACAGGTTAGATTTCAAACGCATTGACCTTAGACTTTTAAAACACTACATAAACATCATCATCTTATCTTTATTCCTTAATATATTTGTTGAACCTGTATTCTGGAAAAAGAAGAAAACAAAGACTGGAATCATTACCCGAAAAGATGATGATGATGATGAAGATAATTTGTAGAAACTAAAATAATGGACGTAATGGACGTCCATCAAACATTTTTTTTTTTTTTTTTTTTAAGTATGGAAGGGTGTCCATTAGGAATGGACGCCTGTCCAAATGTAAGGACGCCACGGTGTCCCCAAAGTTTTTTGTTTTTTATTTTAAGTTATTATGAGGGCGTCCTTTAATGGGGATGCCGTCCTATAATATAGACGGGCGTCCACTGTGAGGGTGGAACGCCACTCCACTAGAAAAAAAATTATAAAAAATAGAGAGATCGTGTGTTATACGTAGGCCGGTAACACGATTCGGTGTACGTTTTTCGGTGGTCCGTAGTTACATTATTGTAAATTGTTTTATGATCAAGTAAGTATTTAGTGCTATCATTTATAATAATATAAATTTAAAGTTAGAATATCTGAATAATACATCTAAGAATCCCAATCAACTAGCAAATCTTGAAATAGTTAAGGAAATATCCATATCTGTATTTCCTTGTGAAATCATCGAGTACTCGATTTCTAGTGTTTTAATACGCACAAGGAAGGCTATTGTTATACGTATTTGTACAGCGCGGTGAAAAGCTTTTTGGTTGGTAGAGGTGGCCATCTCAATATTTTTCTCTAAAAACCCACCAAATGTATGGCACACACAAACATGTGATCATTTCGGCAGTTTGTTTGTACGCCCATTCTGCTTCCTCCGTGATTTTTATAGGCTGCACTGGTTCATCATATTTTCAAGAAGGTTTATTTGAACATACATCCTTGTGTTTCCCCGGAATTTTAGGTTCTTTTTGCTCTCATATTTTACCAGAAAGAAATAAAGAACTTTGCACTGAGTACCAACAAAACAATCCAACCTTTTGAAAGAGAGATTCAATTAATGGGATCTGCACGGAA